TGCAAAAACAGACTGCAAGGAATTTATTCAGTTCCAGATTGCTAAGAAAGTATAAATGGATCATCAATATATATACTGTTGTATTAATTTCAAGAGTCAGAAGAGTTAAAATTAAATTCTTTCACTGTCCAACATTAAAACAGTGATGCAAATAAGTCATTTTTTCCCCTCAGAGACCTTTGCTTACTCAGTTGCATGGCAAACATCCAAAAGCATTCATTCTAAAATTGAAAGCCAAAACTGCAAATAAGCTCTGGTCACCCTTCATGAAAAAATATTCACCTACGTCTACTGAGGAACACTCAACACACTGGTCAAAAGGCCAATTCCAGTAGCCAAAACTCACGATAGGAATATTGTGACTGTAAACAAACTTACACAAATTAGTCAAAAAATAATTCCTTGGGGACTTTAGTCAAGGGAACCTGTATACAGGCATCTTCCTGCACCATATTTGGTTATACCTAATATGAAGGATGATACTGAGTTTCCAAAATCATAAGTATGTCAGAAGGGAGATCATTATCCAGGAAACTCAAGACCATTATGATTTTGGAAACTCAGTATGTCAGAAGGTAGATCATTATCCAGGAAACTCAAGACCATGGCTCACTCCCCCATCTAATGACAGTACCGTTGAAACAATATAAAATCTGAAAGGCCCACTTGAGACCAGAAGGAAATATGGAAAACACCAAGACAGAGAAACTTGTAATATAATGACTGAATCTTTAGAACAACAAGAGTCAGAAAAAAGTACTGCTTGTCAAAAGTGATACTTCTGGATTTCCAAAACCAAGTTTTAAATGCAAATAGTGTTTATAGAAAGACTTCCACTTTCCACTATACTTCTCAGACTAGCCACTTTTTGTCCCTCCCTTTACACAAAACCTGCAGCTTGAACACAGCTAGAGATAAAATGCTAAGTGGTTTATGCTGCAATTTATCAACCCTCATGGGCACAACCACTGTAAGAAAAAACAATCCTTCAGGCTGACAGTCTGAAACCCAGCAATGTTTTTCTAAGACAAGACAGAATCTCAGAGAAACAATTTTACAGTGATCAATAGACTGATCCCATTAGTATTTTAGAAGGAAGGAGGCTCTTTAAAAATTAATTTGCACAAAAATACAAAGCAAAAAAAAGTTGTAAGATAAAGGAAAACAAGAACAGTGAATCTTTTGGTAAAAATAAGCTGGGACATGAACACACTGTATTTTCTGTCGATGGACAACAATTTTTTGCAAGGCAGATTGAGAGTATCAAAAACAGAGGGGACTTTTCTGGCTCAAGATAAACCATCAGTGACCAAGGCAACCTGGGCTGGAGCAAAAACTGCAGTTTGCTCTGGCCTCCCCAGAATGACAAAAAGGGCTTCCAGGTCAAATGTGAGCCAGAGGCATTGCAACTAACACATGGGGTCCCAGATTGCAGAGCCACTCATGTTTGGCCCACTCATCGTGACCTCTGGCTTCATCACAACACGTCCTGAAGGAAAGAACCCCAAGGTGGAAACAGAGTCCCTCCTCCATCAACAGATGGGCTGGAGCGCAGGGAAAGACAGTACCAGGAACACCCACTGGTCATATACAAGCCAGAGCCCCACCATCCCAGCAGGGAGGGCAGCAACCCCACAGGCCTGGGCCCACTTTGTGCCCCCCATTCTCCTCCTCTCAAATTCTGTCATCTCCATGGTAATTTTTTGAAGGGGGGAGGGCACACTCAGTTTCAGATTTTGTGCTAGGTCCCAAAAGCCTCTGTGTGCCTCTGATGAGGACTACAATTAAGATCCATCATATTTTAGCTGCTAGGGAGGTGCCTGATGGGAGGGGTTGTGGAGAAATATGCTTGCATATGTGATGGTTATGTACAGGAATTAGATGTTTTGGAAAGGAAATTAATAGTGAGATTCATTTTATGAGAAAAAGTCAACATCTTAGAGATTCCCTAACCTGCTTTCTTAATGTGACAATAAAAAGATCTGAATTTTAAAGGGAACTTATTATTATTAACTGCTAAACTCTATTGCATATTACTGGAAATGTGTGATCCTCCTCCTCCTATGAAACTGTGGTACAATAAAACAATTGTCTTTGTAATGGAAAAGTTTTTACCCCAATACATACACAAGAGATGCACCAAAAAGAGCACGTGTATTGATACATTTGGTCTCCTTTTCTATCGTAGTCAGAGGAGGGTATGTTTGGGGTATGCTGCGTGCTCCCCAAACTTTCAGCAAAGGAGTGGCTACTCCAAACTCCCAAACTAACTCTCCCAGCTCAGTATGAGTCTGCATCAGGCTGTTTTAAGATCTAGGCCGGTGGTGGGCAACCTGCAGCCCACGGCCCGCATGCAACCCGGTGATCCACCTGCAGTTACACTGTCTACTCCCCTTCCCCGATGCCTCTTGATCACTGGGGCTCTGGAGTCCCGCACTTCCTACTCCTCCCTACCCGCACTTTCAGAGTGCCACGAATCACCTGATATGCGCTCTAACTCCACTCCTCCCTCACCCTCCCAGAGTTTGAACACTCCAAATCAGTTGATTCGTGGCACTCTGAAAGTGCTGGGAGGGGAGGGGTAGAAAGTGTGGGGCCCCAGTGTGTGAGAGGGACGTGAGGGAGGGAAGATGGGGGGAGGTGCAGGTGGAAACTAATGGCACATGGGCTGCAGGTTGCCCACCACTGGCAATCAATCATGTGGCCCACCGAGTGGAAGGAGGGCAACTCATGCGGCCCATTCACTAGTTTTGGTTGCCCATTGCTGATCTAGGCTCTATTCTCTGACCAGAATCTTCAGTGGCTGGGCCAAAGTACCTGTCGGGAACACACAAGCATCACCCCAGGCCACCACTTGCACAGCACCACAGTGACAAGAGGACCACACACCAGCAACTGCCTTTCCACTCGTGGCCACCACCGGAGCTGAGCTGGCTGAGCCAGGCCAGGAGAGAGCACAAAGCACAACCTGCAGTAGGGCATGGCCAATATCTATCTCCAGCGCTTCCCCTGCCTGCATCAGCAGCAGGGTCAAGGCACATGACTGTGTCTCCAGCCCAGGCGAAACGCCCCAGCCTTAGTCCTTGTCCTGCTCTGACACTGCAATATCCAACCCACTACTCGGTGCCTGTGCTGGTCTCCGTCCCCAGCCCCACTCTGACCCCAGCCCTACTCCAGACCCAAGGCCTGCACCCTTCCCCAGTCAACCATCCTCCCACCCCTGAGCCAGAACCCTCCGGCAACGGCCCCCACCCTGTGACAGCTCCAACACAACCCCCTCCCAGCCAACCTCCATCGCCCACACCAGCATCACACCTCTTCCATGCCTAAGGCCCTGTATCCGCCCGGCTTCAGCTCCCCCTGGCCAAATGCGCTTGCATGACAGCCCCACGCCAGCCCCCATGTATTAACCTTCCTCTGACAGCCCCGCTCCAGCCCCACCCTCACCAACACCCCCGGTGACAGCCCCGCTCATCGCACCAGTGGCTCCTGAACAAGGCGCCCAGCAGGAAACGGTGAGAGCCCTTGAACCCCGTGTCCGACAGACAC